CGTCCTCTTATAAGTAAACGTAGAGGTGGGTGCGTTAGCAAACGGGGGAGTATCTCAGATACATCTTCGCATGTCAGAATGATGTGTGAGACGCAGGTCACAGGCGTTTATCAATTTGCTAAAAACACCTAGGCAAGGTACTGACGTATCATAATGCATACTACTTATCATGAGTCAAGGGTATGGTGTATTTGTGTATGCACTAAGCAACGGGAATGGTGCTATGTAATCATAATTGTTGCGAAACTGGATTCAACTAAGTAAAAGGAACGCAACTCTGCGAAGCGATTCGCCAGTAACAGGCAAAACATCCAGACTCACGTCCTCGTAACGGCAAGCTGTATTCTCATGTCAAGAAGTGCAACAAGCCGCCGGCGTCGTAAACCTTTGCTTGTCTTTTTAATGAAATTAAAACACTTCTATGATGAATTACTGGACATTTTTTGGCTGGTCGCCCATCCAGATGCCCTGATTTGTATTCAAGCTGTTGGAAAGCCATCAGTGGAAGGAAATATTGCAGACTCCGTACTTTCATTTGGAACACTAATTGATTGGAAGCATATATTTTACAAGTGGCGGCCCTGGGTTAAATAGGATTATATCCTATTGATTTTGGTGGTAAAAACAACCAGAATTGCCCCCATCTACTAGTGTTTGATAGAAACCTTGTCTAGTGCTGCGAAAATGGTTTAAAATGTCTAGAGGGTGTTTCTGAAGAGAATCGATCGATCAAATGATGGCAGATTCGTTGTAACTAGAAGTTCCCGCTTTTTTGCCTTTTAAATTTGCAAAGGATTACAGATTTCAGATGGTCTGAGTTCCTAATGTGCGTTTTCGCCCAAAGGTCTTAAGTTCAAAGACATATTTCTTAAACATTTTGATGGCATGTTTAGAATTCACTATGTTCTTATCGCGATGGAAATCGAATTTACGGAGGAAGAACTAACAATGAGTATTGAATAAAGTTCAAACAGTGGGCCCCTTTCACTTCTCAATAGATGGTGGATTTTCAGTAAACAACATTTTATCAGCAAGGAAAAAGCATACGATCAACCCTGCCCCGTTAAATGCAGGTATTGCATATCGTTAAGGCAGATCAAACAGACTCAGTCTTTAAAATTCTACAGTGGAGGTTATAAAGTTACCGTTGGCAATAAAGAGCGTTCAAGTCACAACATAAATACCACCGGTGCCAGAAGAACAGGCACTACCAGACACGATCAGCGCCAAAATTTTCATCTCGATAATGATCCTATTTAAAGGAATACAGTTCTGTCGAACTTCATTATTTTGAATCTGTGGGGACTGATACTTGGCATTTGAAGAAAATTCATTAACCACAACCAATTCTAGCAACCCAGCTGTTGTGCTGCAGAGGAAACAGTAACCTACAATTGTCATCGTTGCGATATTTGTTGCCCGCGAGGACCCAACTGTTTCTTATTTAGTTTGCTATCGTTACACTATTGATATTGATATGATCATCTACTGTCCGCGACATCTAGAAACACCATCACTTTGCCATCCTCATCAGAACTTCATTTAACACATTATTTTGGATCCCTGAAGCATTACATATACAGGCGCTCCTCCCACAAAGCCGATTTTACGCTTAGACAATTGTATATCCCCTGCTTAATCACAGACTTTGGGCAAAAAGGCTCTTTAAACCGACAGGAATACCACATTCGACCTCAGTGGAACACATGACTGTTAATGTGTAGTATGGAATGCACGAGTGATAGTTCCCAAGAAACAACTGCGACATGTTTCAAAGTGCTCTGCCAGCGGGAATCAATGCTTATTCTCAATATCGGCCATTGTTGGGGATGCGCGGGGGCTAAAACTCACCCAGGGCTGACTAGGAGATATACATGCTGAGTTTGCAATGAAGAGCCGGGTTACCCGTCTTTCGTTCGATTCCCAGATTTGATCCGACTACGATCTGCACCCTTGTCAGAACCTGTTCCTTTGTTTCATACAGATGACCATGGGGATTTTTGGCTTTCATCCAACAATGTGTAGACTCGACGTGATATAGCTGATAAATAGTTTCATGCGACCTTAAATCGAATTCACTCACTCAACATCTGAGACATCGAACTTAATATTCACTTTTCCAAAAAACACAGGTAGATGTTTAGTAAATTTATTGTATCTGATAAAGTCGATATATTTAATATAATATCATAGATAAAAATATGAAATTTTGAAGCTTAAAAGTTACATGTTGTCGTACAAAGTCATTGAAAACTGTTCATTGTCATGTCACATAAGGCCACAAGGTTGCGCTGAACTCAATATCTCGTGTGACCGCCCCGGGCAGCAATCACGGCTCTGCATCTCCTCGGATAGGTGTAAGAATTCTGTGCCATTCTGCTTGTAACGCGTTGGTCAGTTGTGGGAGTCTGCGTCATGTTCTGATCGAGCACGTCGATCGAGTTCATCCCAGAGGTGTTCGATTAGGTTGAGATCTGGAGGACAGGACGTTGATGTTAGCACTATGAAGGTAGTCTACCGTGACACGAGCTGTGTGCGTTGGAGCGTTGTCCTGTTGTGTACGAGGATACGACGAATTCGGTGGCGGTGGTATCATGGTGTGGGGTGGCCATATCCTACACCACGAGATCCAACTTGATTGTGGTTCGGGGACATTTGACAGCAAATCGATACATGAATCAAATTCTTCAATCTCACCTTCTTCCAATCATTGACTGCAAGAGGGAGATGTTTCAATGTGTGGCAAAACGCTCATTTCGACGATGATAAACACGTTGTCTTCCATCTCGCCGCTGAAGAAGAAATCGTGATTCATCGCTAAACCACACCCGTCTCCAGTTTCTCAAATTCCAAGGCTGTAAGGCATGGCACCAACGATGGATCCGTTGTAAAACTGGGAAGATAACTGGTCTTCTGAGTTTTGATTCCAGCCTCGCGAAGATGGTCCGATATCCTCGCAAATCAGGGATGCGTCCTGTAGTCTCCGTAGCTGTGGTATTGCGATGACGTAGTGGGAACAGTAGTGGAATATAGCGATCCTGTGCAGGGGTGGTAAGTCTTAGACGGCCGGTTCTCGGACAGTCTGCAGTGGAATTGAACTGTGTGTATCCATCACAAAGGCGGCAAATGGTGCTGTGGTGGACGTTGAAGTGGCGTGCAACAGAAGACTGCGATTCCCCTCTTTGGATATGTCCTATGAAGATGTTCCGATCGGCAGGGCTGAGTCCCGGCAAATTCGACCATAAAAAAATGTTGACAACTGAATGACAAATTATTGGCTTATGTTAGCCTCGTTACAGCCACTACCACGAGTTACGACTGCCATAATTTTCTTTGCTGTTTTCAATGCCGTTTAAGACATTGCAAATCGACAATGGCTGCGTGATGACGCACCGTTTGTCGAATATCAGGCCACCAACATTTTCCAATAACATATATCCAATTTTTATACCGGATTGTCTGTGTTGTCAGGTTCAATTAACTGCCTGTGCGTTTCTTTTTTTGAAGAGTGTATGTATCTGGCTTTCGTGTGTTTTTTAACGAATAAGCTTCACGGGAAAGACTCAGTTACATCCATTAAATCATGTTTCATATAATTGGTGTCATACAACTTCAAAGACTATCTTTTGAGACGATATCCAATTTGAATCATTCATAATCCCTGTATGTTTATATGTATCTCCTAGTGTATATTACAACATACTTGATATATTATTTCAGGTATCTAGAGACTTGAAAATGAAGCGAGTGCTGGGATTATCTGTTCCCGAATATTCTGGAAAAAATATATTATGCTTTGAATAAGTAGTCTGTCTCAAACGCGTATCCCAGGCCCCTCCGTCCCCATCCCCCTCACCACACTCCCCCCAAAACATATAAACATATAATGGTCCGTCACTCATCACTTCAGCACGCAGGAGGATGTTGTTCTCACAACATCACATAACACTGTTTCATTAATGTTATTGGATTATAGAGTCTGTAGGCGTCGGGACATCAAACGCTATACAGTGTTAATTGATTCAGCCTTGGCCAGTGTCTGAGATGGAGGTCAACTTTCTCAGAATCTGGGCCGCCAGTTCCATAAATTTGTCAATGAACGCTCCAGTTACCACTTTGTCAACGTACTTATTTTGCGATATCCCGCTGATGACTTTCGATTCTAGAGATAGTGGTGCTACAGAAACGCTAAACCTTTTTTAGTTGTTATTGTCTCAGGAATAGTGTCGTTTAACCACATGGCCAACTCCTCATGAGCATCCGATCAAAATGATGGCTGATGTGTGTCATCGCAAACATGATATCGCCAACCAGTTTCCCTTGTTGATTATTTTGTATGGAGGTTCCCTTACATGAATATACAATGTTATGCGTTGTCCTTGCAATGAGTATTATCAGCTTAGAAGGAAATGTCTCTCAGGACCATGTCTAACTGTGCAAAAAACACCAACCATCCATAATTTGATAAGATTGTCTAGATTCTATATGTGAGTTATTTCTGCTACTTTGCTGCAAGTGATTAGGAGTGAGTGAGTGAGTTGGGTTTAACGCCGTTTTTAACAATATTCCAGTTATATCGCGGGAGGAAATGTGGGAGGAAAGCCCGAAGTGATGCAGGTCTCAGACGTTTACCACTTCGGTGAAACCCACGAGCACGGGTATGGTGCTGACAAACCTAGAAACATAATCGGGGCGAACCGGGATTCGAACCCACAATCATAGGTTTCTGGCGTGTCGAAGGGACACAACTCCGCACAGCGAATCGCGGCGCCTTAGACGACTGGGCCACCAGTGCCCCTACAAATGATTAGAGAGTTAGGATCATTTTGCAATGTCAAACGCAGTCAGCACAACCAAGTACCTGATAATATATTAATTTGTTTTCGGAATGTAATATATTAGAACGTCACATAAACAAGTCTGTGAATGTTTACACTTTTGAGACGAGAGCTGTTGCAAGTAATAAGACGCTGATTATCAAATGTGTTTTGCTGTTTCAGATGCCTGTCCACTGATAGAGAAAATGGGCGCTCTTTGAGAACACTGCCGTCAACACACAGTGGACTCTGACACAAACTTAGTTCAAAGTTTGTAAAGTAGGTAAACATAGTGACTTGTTTAAAAACTCGCTGTATAAATTAAACCTTTCATCGTCGATTAACTAGTGTATTCTATCCCCATTCAATTTTAATGAACGAACTGGTGCCATTCATCACCATAGCGCCGTGACAATCTTCATCACTGATATCTTCGACACAGCATTTCTCTCACCAGAGTTAATTGATTGGATGGGGTTATTTAGCATTGTGTCGTATGAAGCAAGCTCGGAATGATGCAATGGTTATGAATAGGTATCGGGGATGTTGCCTAATGTAATATACTAGACAGAATAATGACGATTTCTCCCTCGGTGATCCTTTGCGACGTATGGTCTTAGTCGCGCAAGTCAGTTGTTACAGGATCCGCTGTTAGGGGCTTCTGATTCCAGATTCGTCCTGGTTTGACTATATCAGATGCGTGCGTGAATTTCATCAATGTGATAAGCCTCACTTGGCTTGCATCCTACATTAAACCGACACGCAGTGATGAAACTGAAACACTACTGAATGCAGCCTCAAGTCAAATATCGATTGCGTTTTTGCCTTCTATGGAAAATGAGTTTCGTAATTTGAGGCATGTTTTAATTATGAGAGTTTGGCTGGTCATCGCATTACATATTGGTAACGCAAGATACGGGAAACGTTAATACACGTAATCTTTTAAATCTAACTTCCAGATAAAGGGCGCATAAAATATACCGCAATGGTTAACAGTCGAACGCCATGCCCTAATTGAATCTGAAGCTGGTCCACATATTTGTGTCCAGACATACATTTATATCGATTGTGGGGGATATTTGTAAAGATATATGCGACCGCTGATTAGCTTCGAAGTGTCTTAGAGAATAACATGGGTCGAGTTCACTGTGTCCCAAAATGAAATACATTATAAATTATTCTTTAGTCATAGAGTGATTCAGGCAAATTAATTATAAATATAATCGGCAGCTGACAAGATATATTCAGCATCAACCAGCAACAGAGTTGAACATGTTCTCTTTGTTGTTTCAGAGTGGTGTCAGCAAGACCTCAAAGCTTAGAACATCCTGATTTCTGAAGACATCGCCACCTAGCGGCGATTGATCTATGCAAGGGCCGAAACCCAGAATCGTAAGATAGCCTAGATAAGAATAGCCATGATTTGTTCGTGTCGTAAGCGGTCTTTGGAAACGCCTCCAATACTCGATGTGGAGCGAATACTGCAAGATTATGCTTGGAAGGACTTTAAAGAAAAAAGTGGACGAGTTGAAAAGATATTCCAGCGAAGACGTGATTTTGATATTGAGGTTCCTATGAACTACTTCGATTTTGAAGACTCGGACACGTTTCTAAAACCAAAACCCAAAGCAGCAGCCGGGCATTCTATCCCAGAAACATCGGTCCTGCAGACGCAGTTCAGAAACAATACCAACAGAAGTCAGACGTACAAGTTCAGAATAGAAAGGACAAGGAAGGCCACGATCAGCGTCACATTTCAGAGAGGATTTTCTATTGGCGGAAAGGCCCAGTTCAAACTTGGATTACCGAAGATGCTGTCTCAAGGAGGAGAAGTTGACATGAGACTTCAAATATCCAAAACTACCGGGGAAACGTTCGACGAAACGTTGACATATGAGGCCAATTGTGATATCAACGTTGAGGAGAACTGCAACTACACTGCCAATGTGGCCTTCACTGAGAAGGAAATATCAGCTGAGTTCACGGTGCAGACATTGATGAGAATGCCGACTGGTACAGCGCCAGTTTACATCAGGAGAAAACGAGACCATGAACTTTATGCAACAGTTTTTATAAGCGACCTCAAAGACGTCTTCGCTGATCATAAAGCTACAGCCAAAATCATTGACAAGTCTGCTAAGGACGCAAAGGTTGCTAGGTATGCAATCAAGTTTACTACAACTGGAATTGTTGAGGGGATGCGGCTTGTTGGACAGAAAATCGACATTGATTCTAAGAAGTTAGAAAAGGGAGATGCATCTGGCGTTGACCTACCAGTTGTGAGTCAAAGTGCAGCTGCCCAGAATGCAGGAGTCGAAGCCGCACATCCGTCGGGATTATTTCGACCTAATTTCCCATCAGACAGTGATCACTGGACAAAATATCCTAGGTCATAAAGGTCATATTTCCAAGCTTGGATTTGTTTGGATATTTTTGGATTTGTTTGGATATGTTTGGATACAACATGTCACAATCATATCTGATAAACGTTGTACAACGTTTGACCTTATGTGAGATTAGTAATGACATGAAAGTAAATAATTAAGAGTATTTTGGCACTATTTACCACGAAAAGACCAAATCATGAGCAAATTTAACTAAATGAATTTCTGTCATTTAAAGTCGCCACTCTTTATATTTAATTTCTTATCTTCCTTGTCTATAATCATATGACATTGACTATGAACTTTGAACAATTAAACAAATATTTTGTTTTCCCATACCGCCTTACGGTTGTCGTAGAACAAAGACCGTTTCGAGAATAAAGGGCCTCATTATTATAATTTGAACTAATATACATATTTACATAATAGTACTAGTTTTAAATGAATTTTGATAAGTGTTCGTACAAGAAATGAACTTCGAATTATCTCGGAATTATGCGCAACACATAGGGCGGGAAATTGTATAATTGGTCTGGAACTATCTGACGGTAATTCAAAACAGGGAACAAGATTTCGTCAAATGAATCATTGAGCCAGGAATGCAACGATTTAAATGCTGACAAAATGAATAAACATATCTGGAACAGAGTAGACTGTTCATGCGGACAATTATATGCTACGTCTATTGCCAATGAAGTCACCCCATGTTATAGCATTTGTTTCATATAAAAGATAGAAGCCAAATAAATGGGACAATTAGTTGTTATGAATTAGCTTTACCTCTATGACATATTACGCAACTAAAGGTGAATATGTTTATCAAATAATCAATTACATTCATTAACCTAGTGTCCTTATTTATACACAATTTAATTACGTATTGGGGTAAAATATATAAAACACATATACACGGAATGATTTCTTATTTTGTCAATTTAATCATAACCCAAATCATACAAATCGAACATGTGAAAATAAAAGTAGTGACTAACTTTATGATCAAGGGTATAAATACTCAATTGTATCTATTAATCCTAATAGTATAACAATAAATCTTGTGTATTTACTGAGCATATTTAGATACATCCGGATCTACGACCGCAGTCATATAATCAATCAAGGAAAGTATATTAGATTTGAATAAAAAATGTGCTATCACTAAAACAAAATTCAGCGTTATCCATGTAAGCCTTAACCTGGGAGAAATAAAGTTCTGTTCTGTTCTGAAGACGCCGTCATGATTAGTTGGCGCCAGTCCAGACTGTCCAATCAACGTGAATATACAAACCGTGATTTTACTAGACCAGTTGATGACACCTGTCAAATTCAAAGTGCCCCTGGTCCTCCACCCACCATGTGTAATACTTTAGCGTACTTGATTGTTTAATTTGCAGTTATATCACTTTTAGGCTGAGTGATGAGAGAATAAATTTTGTTGTTTTTGTTAACGATCGTTTCCATTTTCAACGTGGTAACCTTATAAGTGACTAACTTTTTTATCATGATGAAATGAAACATATTAAAATAATCAGAGGGACTGACGATCGCATTTGTCGCATAAATGTCATGCTCGCATTAATTTCATGATTTACTGAAGATAGATTTGAACATTTCTGAGCAACGATCATGTTTTGGTAAGGGAAGTAATCTTGTCTCCGCTTGCAATTGAATTCAATCGGGCGAGCAGTTCCGAGATCACAGCTTGACTGTTCGGTACGGCCGAAAGGTGGCATCCATGTTGTTCACGCTCCGCTGATCACGGGGCCTCATTTGTCTGTATTCTGCTTATGAGCCGGGATGCGCATGAAACACGGGTGTCAAAACCAATATAGTTACCAGATAAACTGACTGGTGGGGGCTTCACCAGTAGATATAAAGCTATAGTAGTAGTAACTAGTTTCGCACGGCTTGTGCTCATCAGACTGATTGCTTAGGTTACTTACTTACTTATATTAGGAGATTTTACGTGCGCTTTCCGACTGGAGCGTATTTCGCACACGGGATTGCTTAGGGGCGTGTGCGTCCTTAAATACCTGAATAAACAGGCGAAGTCGTTTATTCCATGATGTGTAAGCCTGTCATTGGTTGTTTTATGACGGCTAAATGGTGTGTTATAGTGACACGCCGTTAGTAGGTCGCCGGTGATGTGGCGTAAAATGTAGTCGCCGGTATTGGCGATTTAGCGTGAGCTTCCGCGACTTATAATGAGGTGGATATTTGAGCTAAAAACGTTCCACCCGCACGGTCTCAATGACAGAATGGTTGGCTGATTAATTCCCCCTTTGGTCAACTTGCAATATAGTTACCAATTATATGTACGGCCAATTAGCCAGTTCAAGAGACAATACCCTGGTTCTACCACCTTTAGGTGTAATCGCATGCCCCTGGTTCACGGTTCGTCTGATCTCCCGTTATAAAACCACGATGTTTATTTACCTCGGACAGCGCCGACTTCCTGTGTACATGTACGTACATGGCAGTATATGGTTTGACAGTTGTTTGACGGAATCAGTCAATAATTATTGACACAGTGATGTAATTAAAATATGTCACTATTAACAACTCCTATTTTGATTTTTCTATTGTTCAGCTGTACTTTCGATCAGTTTTATATGTATAAAAAATCTTCTCTAGTATTTATAAACCCAACCTAAAAAACATTATATAAGAACAATTGTTTTTTTTAAACGTAAGTTTTCTATTAAAACAACCATGCAAGTAAGATTTCAGCCGTAATATTACTTTAGTTACTCCACAGATTACACATCTTATATGCTGCAAACGCAGCGAATGTAATGCTACTACGTCACAGCTGCCTCGGTAATTAAGGGCTGGAATGTTGTTGTGAAGGCAGTTAGAGCAGACGAATCCCCCCCCCCCCCCCCCCCGCTGTTAACCATATATATATGTATTTTTCGTGTTTTTAACTTGATTTGATTGTCCTGGTAAATATTTATGAAATGCATGTCCTGTTTTGTATATATGTATATATTATTATGTTAATATGGACAATGGTAAAATTCATTATCACAGTTTAAGTGCTATTCACAAATGTTTGTAAATCTGCTTCGTGATGAATGAAGCATGGCAATACATGTATGCATCTGTTTCTTCATTTGTTCTGTATTTTTTTATGAGAATGAGTTTCGTTAATGATGATCACTCTCACAGATTATTTGATAAGAGGATAGGACTTTAACTGGAGAATAGTTATGAAAAATATATATAAGTATAGGCGGTCTGTGCGAATGTGGTGAAATTGATACCGCATTGATTTGATAATCGGGACTTGGAAATCACAGTCTGTCATTAAATTGATTTTAAAATATATGGTTTTGACTGTAGTACGTCCTGACATGATAATATTATGTTGTAAACAACTTATCTTATCTTATGTTAAGTAAAACAATTATTGATAACTTCCTGAATTCCAATTGTTCAATGAACAGAATTATTCAAAGCTCTGGCGTGAGACAACAATAAATTAGATGTTATCAAAGATTGTCCATTTTATGATCTTAGGCACATGTCGGCGCACTTACATGTGAGCCATCTAGACGACTGTCTGTTTTATAATTAAATGACAGCTGCCATCCAGCCGAATACTTATTTTTGAGACATATTATTGTCTTGTCGAGTCAAGTGCGGGTCTCTCTCTCACCTTAGGGAGAATGCGACTGTAAAAGCCCCTCGCTAGACAGACAAGTAGTGAATGTTTGAGATAAGTTTATTATTTATTATGTATAGTTTAAACTCAATAGATAATTCATAGTCTTTTTATTGTTCAAATTACTAATAAAACATATTTTAACTTGTTACTTCTAAACATACTTCCAAACAATTCCAAACAATTCCAAACAATTCCAATTCCAAACTATTCCAAGTCATTCCAAACATTTCCTGCGTTGGGAATATGTTTGGAAATGTTGCCAATCCAATTTTGGATTTTCTGTAAAGATCGATCCTTCCAAGCTTCGGAAATGTTGGAATGAGCGATCTTGCCAAAGCAATCCAATGTTCATTCCAAATTGGAATGGACGCTCCTTGGTCTTGTGGATGATGCTAAGGATGACTCCATGGATGGCGCCTCCATGTCTACATACAGAAGCATAAACAATGGCCAGTCTGAGACAAGGATTTTAAAGGCACCTCAGATTCCTACCATCATAACCACAGCTCCAAGCTCTCAGGAAACATCGCCTCCGTCGGAAGCTGGCACAAGCACAAGTCTGGAGACACAATCGCTTCCTGAGGACAAGAATGAAGACGTCTTTGATAAGACGTCTCCTTGTTCGTCTGCAACACCTACTCAAAAACCAAGTCCTGGAAAACTACCCTCGAAGGAAGCGCCGAAGGAAAAAGGAAAGGTGCCACTTAAAGAAACAAAATCTTTGTCAAAAGGATCTAAAGATGAGACTAAAGCCCCTTCGCATGAAATGAAGTCACCAACCCAGGCTCCAAAGCCGAAGGTTGTGAAGGAAGACAGCATTGGCAAACATAAAATGGTAAAAGAGGACAGTCTTACCAAAGCTGACGCCACCAAGCTTAAGGCAGAACCTCAAAGGGTTAAGCATGAATCGCAAAAAGTAAAAGAGGTCCCAAAGATGAAACCAGATCCCTCAAAGGTCCAGAATATTAAAATACTCACGAAACAGACATCTAATCCGAAAGAGTCAACAGACGCCACAGAGAAGCCAAAGGAGGACAAGACAAAGGATGAGAAGCCAAAGGAGGACAAGACAAAGGAGGACAAGACAAAGGATGAGAAGCCAAAGGAGGACAAGACAAAGGAGGACAAGACAAAGGAGGACAAGACAAAGGATGAGAAGCTTGTGATTCGGCGAAGCTTCAAACATAAGACTTTGGAGAGAATGGAAAGGGTGTCATCGCTTTCTGAAAAGCCAAGAATTCTGCCCAAGTCTGGGAGTTTACCCAGAGCAAGTGTTCATTCGATTGAGCCGCAGAGTTCAGAGGAAGATAGTACAAGTAGTTTAAGCAAACTATCTAAGTGCACCAGTGTCTGATGAGTAGGCATACAATGGTACTGGCAACCCTTTAGACATCCAAAAATGGTCACAGGTACGTTCGTTACAACAACGTTACTCAATAGCAAAGCAGTTAGACATAACGGGCATAAAAATACTCGTGTCATCTCATATATCCATGTTAAACGTTATTCCTGAACTTTCGAAACATAAAATAAAAACAAATAGATGTTACATCTGGACTCGAAGCATTGTAGAGATGTAGCTTAGCGATCCCATCACATGTCACTTACATTACCAACATTTGGCCATGATCTATAATGTGCAGACATATGAATTAAGTGAACACAAGACATCATGATCTTTGTTACTTTTTTTGTTGACTTTTCCCTTGTATGTAGAAGGTAGAAATGTCAGTCATAACACCCGATGAAACTGATATAGGAATGTGGAAAAAGGCCTTCAATAAAAAGCTATTAACATATTCTGGTTCTTTTAGGAATGCAACTAATTCAATACATCCAATACAAGATTATTCTGAAGGGGTTGAAAATTCAAGATTGGACGTATTACTCACACACTATAGAATCAAACGACATTTTAATAACTACATTAATTCCAATGAACGTTTAAACTGTACAATATGAGTGCCCTGCAATCAGAACTTTCTTACTTTTCACTTGATATAAATACTTTCCCTGATGGGTATCTTTTATTTTGTAATCCAAAATTTGAACAAAAACGTAGAATTCACCAAGGACCGGTGCATACTGCATATATTAGGTTTATTATTGTACATAACAGGACACCTTCGATTTTACACCCTTCATGGAAGCATATGACGTCATTCATTGTTTCGTGACGTCATAGAATGCCATAGTGAGGTAGAGTTCACGTAGAATGAGAGCGTAACCGAAGCCTACTGATAATAGTAGCATTCTACCATGACGATAAACAGTATGCTGAAGCTGTTGGATTCAAATGAACTATCCTGGCTTCAAATACTCAATAACACCCAGTGCGTTGACATCTGTTGCTGCTTTTTAGCATGTAAGTGTTCCATAGTTCTTTTAGCATTTTTTATTGCGGAATGACACACGAAGATGGGCGACGTGGCAAGATGTGAGTTTTTTTTATGTCCAATTCATCAAGCCTTTAACACAATTGCTACCTAGTCTTGTCTGTCATGTCGCTCGGAGAAGAGATCATAGTTTACTGTTTGATGTCACACGATGGACATTGGTCGAGCCTAAAAGTTGATGGTGATCTCAGCCGAATAAAATGTATTTTTGCACATAAGAACACTGACACTAATTGTGATAAAGCACAGGTGATATTTCAATTGCCGTATGGACATTGTACATAGAGGTTCTCGAACATTTTATACTGAATATGTTATCAATGTGAATTAAAGAATGATGCATTGTTTTACAAAGTAACTCGGACAAGTCAAGTGTAAAGGCACAATGTGAACAGTCGTGAAAATAATATATATGTCTGGTTTGGCATGCATTGTATTGTATTTGCCTGGGGCTAAGGTATATCGGATTGACATGCCAGATATATGTTTGTTAATTAGATCAAAACTTTAATAAGAAAGGTGAATAAAGAAATAAAAAAGGTAATGATTCATTTCCATACTGTTTATTGATTTATTGATTTATTGATTTATTGATTTATTGATTTATTTTACAGGGGCGGTCGGGTAGTCTAGTGGTTAAAGCGTTCGCTCTTCACGCCAAAGACCCGGGTTCCATTCCCGACATGGGTACAATGTGTGAAGCCCATTTCTAGTGTCCCCCGCCGTGATATTGCTGGAATATTGCTAAAAGCGGCGTAAAACCATACTCACTCACTATTTATTTAACATGTTTGTGTGATTTTTTATATGGATTCAAATCAACACATTAACTAAGATTTGGCATAAGTCGAATAGACCATTTACCGTACCTAATATTAAGAAAGCAATTTCATAAATTTGAACAAATTATATTTAATTGATACGTGTGAATTACTTTGGAGTCGAGCATCAATTTGCGTATCTTCCTGAGGCAAAGATTAGGCTACCTCAAAGCCTAGTCTCTTCAGGGAGCTGTTCTTATTTTGAATGGCTCCATAAAAATGACAACCGTAGCAGATGACCCCGTTAATCAGATAACGATAACAGTTGCGATTGTATCACTGGCAGACAAATACAATGACAGATTACCAAAGTAAAGATACTTATTACTGCCGAATTTCGCTCTTACATTTATAGAGGCTTACAGTGAGTGGGTGAGGTAGCTTTAACGCCCATTTATAAAGTATTCGAGTTATATCACGGGGTGTCAGCTTAATGTTGGAGGAAACCCTGAAATAATGCACGTGACGGTCGTTTTCCACTTTGGTGAAACCAACGTACATGGGTATTGTGCTGACAAACCCAGAAACATAATCGGGGCGAACCGTAATTCCATCCTAAAATCACAGGTTTCTGGCGTACCCAAGGGAGACAACTCCAAGGCCACCTGTGCCACGGAGGCTAACAGACTACACAGTATCAAGTGACACTGTACATCGCGGGAACATTGAACGCTCTGCAGGTGTCTTTTAAAACAAGCACAATATCTCAGTCACCGTGATAAGCGTTCAGTAGCGGAACCCGGATGCTGATTTTGTAAAACGTTCTGTGATTGGACTATTTTACCACCGAAACGTAGGCTTACAATTGTTAGTGTAGAAACAAGGCTTTGCTATATGCAAGTGGATACTGCTTCCTCGGTAAAACGCTATTTGCGAAGATCGTGTTCACTTCAAACAAGAAAGGCTTACTGCGATTTATTAGGAACCAGTATTTTTTCTCAACTTTCATCAATATTATCATTGTACGTTGGACGTGTCATCGCAACTTTCAGCATGGATATTTGCTGATGGTTTATCTATGTTAAAGGTATGAAGTACTTGAAACCTGATGTTGAAGAAACAATAGAGTTGGGATATATTGCATGAGTGCTTCACTCACTATCTTGCTGATGTTATAAGTCCATTTCTGATTATTGTCATTTTGGGTCATTTGCTTTATATAACATTACAACACCACTCCGTGAAAGAGAAAGGTTTTAAATAAATACCCTGAGAATAATTTATGCCTTTCAGATTTCAAGAGAACAAATTTAAAATCTTAAAACTAATAAAACAAACGGACGGACAACAATTAATATCCTTTTCTCACATAATAAAGGGCAGATGCATCTAAAATCGCTCAAGTTCAGTGACACGTCACATTAATAGTGCGTATGACCACTCCTTGCTAGAAGACACGCAAAACCTTTCCTGCGCACAGAAATGGTCAGTTGTTTGATGACGTCACGAGGGATACGTTGCCATTCTTCGTGGATGGCCTGGATCAGTTCTTGATGGTTGGATGAAGTATGCGGTCCCTGTCGAACATGACGATCCATGACATCCCAGACATGGGTGAAATGTCTTTAGAACGAGCAGGCCAAGGCATCACGTTCTATTCAGGCTGTATGGGGGCCTGGCGTTTTCATGCTGATAAAGGACACCACGTGGAAGCTGCCCACAAATTCCACCCTACACAATTACACCCAATCCACAATACGGCAAGACTTCCTAAACGCTCCACTTCGGCGGTAAACACGCTGTCATCCATCAGCTCTGAACAGACAAAACCGGCTTGCTTCACCCTCCGCCATCGTCGCTGATGACGTCACTGTCAGGAATCGATTCCGGAGATGCAAAGTACCGGTCTTCACTGGGCGTTGTTACCCTGAGTCTACCTGTTCTTGGCATGTATGTTGGGTTAGTTACAGACATCAATGCAGCAACCAAAAGGTCTGGCTATGTGGTAAATGTGAGAAAAGGTGCAGATAACCGACGTGAAACTTGTGAGAATATCTGGGAATTGTCAAACGCAATGTCTTGAAGATCAGTTCAGACAGAATGGCACTCTGATAAGTTATATAAACTTAACATATATCAAATTGAAAATGTGCTCCTGGACAAACATATCATTATTTGAAAAAAAACACATCTAAATTAGTGAATCATTTGTTATCTATCGCTCACAGTATATCCATTCTTTCGGTGTCTAACTGGTAAACTTGTTTTCAATGCAAGGACAAACTTACCATGAAGAAGTTTCCAATTTTCTGTAAATATATTATAAATGTTATAAATGTTTTGAAGTGATCATTGTATATACTTCCGACAGGTATGTGTAGTACATTATCCTTTTGCTTCGTGCTACCGACCAGTTGCCAAATACCATGGGGTTCAAAACATGTAGTACACCGTACTGAAAATAAAGTATTTGTCTCATGGTAAAGTTGCACGAAGTGAAGTAGGTAAACTGGCATTGATGTAAACAGCATTATGCAGCACGGTGTGACGTACTATTCATTATTGAGTGTGCCTATATCGCATTGAACTTTGTGTGACAAACGGAACTTGCTAGGATTTGGAGGAAATCTTCCACGTTGATAGAATAAACCTGGAGAAGACGGTAATGTCGGTTTCATGCATGTTGATTGTGCTATGTACAAGTACATACCGATTTGTATTGAAAGATAGACTTGCCCCAGGATTCCTCCCCGGCGAAACCTACGCATTTAAAGAAGTAGCGATCTTTAAATACTGACCCCGTATTCAGCAATATTCCATCTATATGTCGGCGTTCTGTAAAGAGTAGTGTCTTGACCAGACAATCCAGTGATTGATACCATGAGCAAAGTCCCACGACATCGTTGTTTGAGGAGAAGCAATAAACATGTGAGTCTAACCAGCCAATTCATTTAGTCGCCTTCACCTTTAGGTAACACTATGTTTACACGTTACTTGATTAAGCAATTATACCAGTCACCTACATGTATAAATACTGTAAATCTTGAAATTAACGCGAGCGTGAATTAAATGCGAAAAATGCGTGTGGTCTTTGCTCGCATTTTTAAACATCGCATTTATATCAACAATAAGACATTTTGGATAGCAAAAATACCAACTTAGACATACGCTGATGTATTCCACACCACTGTTTATTT